GTTGTGTAATCATCCAGCTTCTTGGATGGCAATCCTCCCCTGGCTGATAGAGGGTCCCCTATGGCCTAGGTAGGCCTCAAACTTCCTTAGCAGGGTTGCTCCCTCCTCCAGGCAGTGGCAGTAGTGCTGGTTCTCTCTAAGTCAAAAGAAGGTCTCAGATGAGGCCAGAGCAGTTTCCAGTGGCTCAGCCCAGCTCTCTCCTTCCTACTGGCAGCTGTGATGCACTCCTCCAGCTGGAGAGGTGGCGGACAGGGCTGAGAGGACTCCCTCCACTCAGCTGTTGTCTGTCCTTCCCACCAGCCACTGTGGTGCGCTGCTCCTGTTGGAGAGGCTGAGGATGGGGCTGAGTGCACTCTCTCCAGTTGGCTGTTTTCTCTCCTTCTCAACTCCATCTTTACAGTCCACAGCTTTCTGAAATTTTCCTTCATGACAAAATCACAGTATTGTAAATTATCCTGCTGGGCTCTTTTCTCTTGATTTGCAACATAAAGCTGAATAAAAGCCCCCAACAATAGAAATGCCACAGCCTCAAAATTGGTCTGCCTTGAAATTTTCTTTTGAAGATTAATCAGCCCATTGCCCTTAGTCTCAGTCTCAGGTAAAATCTCTGAGTATGAGTAAAATGCAGACAATCTTTCTGCTAATCTGTAACACACATTGTGGGGAGAGCAACAACCAATGCAGCCCTTACTTCCAGCAGAAACCTCCCAAGTCTGGTCTTTACCATGAATTTTTCTGTCAGCCTTTTGGTCTCCTGAGCTCCAACCAGAATCTACTCTAAACAACAGCCTAAGTGGTTCCAGCTCTATGCATCCAGGGGACATGTCTGAACTTTTCCAAACTCTGCCCACAAGCCATTTCCAAAGCCTCCACAAACTGGGGAAAACTCTTAGTGAACTGTCCTTCACACAAAGGACTTCAGTCTAACACACATAAAGAATTTTTAAAAAAATCAAACCCCTAAAATTCAAAGACCCTACCCAAAAATGGGCATTTGAGATGAATACACAGTTCTCAGATGAAGAAATACAAATGTAAAATAAATACATGAAAAAGTACTCATCATCATTACTCATTGGAGAAATGCAAATTAAAACCACACTAAGATTCCGTCTCACTCCAGAAAAACCAGCCAGGATCAAGAAAACTACCAACAACAAATGCTGGAGAGGCAATGGGGGAAAAGGATCTCTCCTGCACTGTTGGTGGGAGTGTAGACTGGTGCAACCACTGTGGAGGTCAGTCTGGAGATGTTTCAAAAGCCTTGGTATGGAAGTCTTTTTTGACCAGTTATTCCACTTCTGGACATATTCCTAGAAAAACTGAAAGCATCATACCACAGTGATATACGTGCACCCATGTTTGTAGCAGCACAATTTGTAATAGCCAGATTTGGAAACAACCTAAGTGTCCGAAAAACTGAGGAATGGATAAAAACATTGTAGTATTTTTATGCAATGAAGTACTACTCAGCTATAAAGAATGATCACATTGAGATTTTTATAAATAAATGGATACAACTTGATACCATACTCATAAGTAAAATAAATCAAACTCACTTGTATAAATCACATATAGTAAGAAATGGTATAGTGTAAGAACTGGTAAGAGTACATAAAATTTTATGGTAATCATGATTCCCTGTTGCATTGCTTTGAAGTCTTGTACTGTTTTCATTCATTAGTTAGAATGATTTTATCCTGGGTTTTTTTATTTTATTATCTGTGATGGTATGAACAGCTATTTTGAAGAAAGCGATACAGTATAATAGCCAGTGCTGATTTATATCATCTTGATTTGAAGTCCTACAATATTTTTATTCTTCTTTTTCCATTGGTTCTGTCATGTAGTATGTTACTGGATTTTATCATGTGTGGTAGTATAAACAAAATTTTTTATGGATAATGAGATAATATAATAGCCATTTTTCATTTTCTGTTATTTGGTTCTGGATGCCCTGTAATACTTCCATTCCCTTTAATAGTTTCATACTATTTTGTTATGTTTGATACTATTGTGTATGGAGTTATGCTCAACTATTTCAAGGAAAGAGACATTAGGGTAGCTACTGTTATCTCAGGTTGTCTTGTGATGAAATACTGTATTGCTTAAATTGTTCTGTTCTGATCTGCTCTGTTATGTCCTCTTTTATCTTAATATATTTATAATAACAATAATTAATTTAAAAAAAACATGATCAGGTATAGTCACAGCAAACGATCCTATTCATGGTACCAAATTCTATCATAGTTACTTTTTACTTGTTGCTGAGACAAAACACCTGATTCCCAAAGTTGGGAAAGAAAAAGTTTATTTCTTACAGTTTTTGGAGGTTTCAGTGCACACTTATTTGACGCCAAGGCAGGGTAACATGGTAGGGCCACTGTTTCATGGCAGCTGCAAAAGGCAATGCAGAAACCAGCAACAGAGCAAGACACACCTTCATCCTGCCATTACATCACATCTTGGCTCCACCACTATGTGAGTGTATCACTGGCACCATCAATCCAAGCACTATACAATGAACCAACCACAGATGCATAAGTTAAATGCACCAACACTAACCATGACAGAAAGAAAGGAAGGAAGGAAGGAAGGAAGGAAGGAAGGAAGGAAGGAAGAAAGAAAGAAAGAAAGAAAGAAAGAAAGAAAGAAAGAGAAGAAAGAAAGAAAGAGAAGAAAGAAAGAAAGAGAAAGAAAGAAAGAAAGAAAGAAAGAAAGAAAGAAAGAAAGAAAGAAAGAAAGAAAGAAAAATGAAAGAATCAAAAAGGATCCTGGAGTCTGAGGTTATAGGAAAAATGAAAAACAGTCATAGGTCTCTAGAAAGTGCAACTTTTTCTATCAGTGTGAGAAAGGAAATTAAGACTGAGTAGCCATGTGTTACTTCAGTAAGTTCTCTCCAAAAGCACTTTTCCTGACAGTGTACCACAGGTGGTCGCCGAAAAGGATTCTGTAATGTAAGTGCCCTTCTTCTTTGGACTGAAAATTTTCTTTTAAGATAAGATTGTATAATAATAGTGTAGTGTAGGTAGTAAAATAACAGAGTTTGGCTTTGCATAATTGAAGGAAAGTGAATAGAGATTTGAGGAAGGTCAAGAAGAGAGAACAGAAAAGAGATGGTTGAATACAGAGATGGAATTGCCAGGTGGCCTAAGGTGGTGTTCTATGCAACACAGTCTCTCTTCTTCTTCCAAAACACTCAGTACACCAAAACTATAGAGGAAGCCTTATAGACACTGGCATCACAGGGCAGCCAGTCTCAGGAGAGATCATCAGCAGATAACCAGTTGCCTAAGGTGAGAAGCCTGGAGTGGATTATGAAATCTTCTTTCTTGATTTCTGGCTGCATTATGATTTCCTCAGGGAACTGTCAGGTGCTTTTGAAATGCAGAGGAAGGCAAGTTAGCCTAACCATATGTAGGGAAAGACTTGACAACTTTCTCAAGGTCCATTCTGCTTTCCAAGGATGTTGTGTTCCACTGACCACCCAGAGTTAAGTCCCTTCTGTGCCTACACAGCCCTTCCCAATCTTTCCTGGAACTCAGCAAGCTTTGCCTTCTGTCTTTCTGCTCTTGCCCTTTCCAGGCATGGAAGGATCTCCATTTCCCCACTCCCAACACACACTGCTTGTCTGGTTCCTGCTGCCTTTTTTCTCATTTTTTCTCTGGCATTCCCAGCTCTGGACAGTATTGCTCTACTGGTTACATGTTTATAGGAAAAGTCATGTATAAAATTGACACACATATATAGAGTCCTGGAATAATAGTCATCACTATTTTCCTTTTGTAAGGGATTCCTCTCACCTGAAATGTAATGGACATTATTGTTAGTCATCTCAATTTTTCTTCCATGACACATTTCAAATATAGTGAGAAATTATGTTTTCATAGTCTTGTTTTTTTTTTTTTTTTTACCAAGTTTGGAAACTTTCCTTTGTGTCTAAGTCTAGGATTTGGAGCAAAGAAAATATTTTAGCAATATTTATCTAAGCTTGTAGTCCTTTCCAATGAAATTCCTCACCACAGCTATGCTTTTCCAAAACCTGATTTGTAGAGTCTTAATGGAACTGGAAATACTAGCAAGGCTCACCCAAAATTAATTTAACTACTGAAGAAAAATTTTTATACTTAATAATAGGGTCTTAACATTCTTGGCAATTAGAAGATATTATGTATTACACTCGCAAATTAAAGGAGGAGAAATTTATTTGGCTCACAATTTCCAGGAGGTTCAGTTCAAAGTCGGTGGAAAACACAATGCAGAAAACATAGAGCAAAAAGTCTTCACAGGGGAAACTGCTTATTACAAAAGTGTGATGGATGGAATATTGAGGTGACTAATAATGTCCCTAACCTGGCCAGTTTGGCAATGCAGAAGATGGGTGTGTGTATGAGAGGTTGAGCTGTTCAGGATTCTCTTCTAGGTTTAGTTAACCATGAGCACAGGGCCCTAAAAGGCTGGATTCAAGGAGACTATAGGTCACTGGCCACTTGGGTGCGCTGTGGCTTCATATTGTTTTAGGGAACCCTGTGTGTGTGTTCTATACTTGCCAGGAGAGCAGGGCTGAAAACAATGCCAGCTTTCCTGCTTGGATCAGAAAGGAGGCTCAAATTTACTGCATGAGATCTGGATAACTGAAAGTAAACACAGACTCATTATCTGGGGATGGTGAGGGTGCCATGGGTCTCAGTGGGCTCAAGAAAGTAGATTCTCTGCTCCTGCATAGGCAGTGGAGGCTGATGCACCTGGGTGTGGGTGGGAAAAGGTGGAAAATCCCTGTCTGGTTAGAACAGAAGTACAGTTAGTATGAAGATAAGGAATATATGTTCTTGGTGTGTGGGAAGGGTGCTTGCCTTGAACCAACTTAAATTTCTGGGCCATGCAGAGTAGGAATTGTGCATGACACATAAAACACAGTTTGGGTGCTATCATCACATTCAGTGAGCTGGCTGCCCAGCAGGGAGAATAAGATCAGATCATGACATATCCTCCTGTCAGGGAGACCAAATATGCAGCCTAGCTGACTGCTCAACCCAGGAGGCCCTGGACTGACCTAGGAGATGCCTGGGATTCCTGAGGCTGCCATGGGTTTCAGATTCCTGTGTTGTGTGGTCCTTTGTCTTCTGGAAGCAGGTGAGTCCTGGGCACAGCTGGAGAGTATCTGATCTATTTTCTGTCCCTGAATATAGGTCTGGTGAGGATGGCCCTGCTCAGTCCTTAGCTTCTGTCTCCTGACCCTTAGTTTCTGTGTCCTGACCCACAGCCTCTATCGATTTGGGATTCATGCAAACCCAAAAGTACCTCATCCAAGTTAAAGAACAACAAGCAACACTGAGATGCTCCCCAATCTCTGGACAACTTGCTGTGTACTGGTACCAACAGAAGCTGGACCAGAGTCTCCAGTTCCTATTTGAACATTATGATACTGAAGAGGGAAGTAAAGGAAATGGTCCTGATGGATTCTCAGCAAAGCAGTTCTCTAACTATAGCTCTGAACTCAGCCTGAGGGCCTTAGAGCTGGAGGACTCTGCTCTCTTTCTCTATGCCAGCAGCTTGGCACCGAGCTGCATGGTCCCCAGCCTTCTGTACAAAAATATTTTTCTTTAATCTGGAAGTGACCAGGAAGGCAGATCTGCCAGCCAGCTCTGCTCATGCCCTGGGATGCTCACAGGTCTTCTCTAGATGTTTGCAGCTGTTGGCATGTGTGACCTGTATAATGTTCACAGAACTGGCACCAGTTAAGCTGCACTTTCCATGTCTGTATCTGGAATAAAGCAGCTTTCCCAGACCTCATCTTCCATACCTGACTGCTACCTGTCCCTATTAACCCATGTGGAACCTCTCACTATTCATGTAGTAGATCTGTACCCTGCTCTGTATTCCTCTTCTCAAATCAAAATTAGTAGGAAGGAGATGTCATGTACCACATGCGATTACTATTGAGCTGCTTTCTGACAAGTCTAGAAAAGATATGCTCTCAAGGCCAACTGTGTTCCGGGTCCTTCATGGTGATGATAAAGAAAGGCACACTCTCCACACTGTCATCCTCTTGTCATGGTGCAGAGGTTATGTGATCTCTTCTATGGCAGCCTGTGAGTAGCATGGGTTCAGAGCTGCAAAATAAAAGGATAGGAGCTTTTTCCAGAGAAAAGTGCAGTTTTCCTGTGCAGGACACAGTGAGCCACAAGGGAAAGGAACGAGACGAGCATCATCATTAGCTTCTTCTGTTCTTTTATTCAGCAAACATTTTGTGCCCCCTGTTTGTGCAAGGCATTGTTCACAAAAGAGAGAAAATTGATAACTCAATTGTTTTTAATAATAAAGGAAAACGAGGCACATAGAAAAAAAATGGTATTATTCAAAGTAATTTCTTTGAATTTTGACTTATGCAAATAAAATTGTATTTTTTCCCTTTTTGCCTTTCTCTGATTATCCTTTTCTGCCACCTTTTAAATATTTTAAATATTTAAATGAAATCTACCTTCTTAACAGGTGTTTAAATGTGCACTGCAGTGTCTGTCTCCCATATGGGTATAATGTGCTACTGACTGTTGGAGTTTAAGTAGATAGCAGAACATTACACCCTTCAACATGCAGCTCCTCCTTTCCTCCACCCTCTGGTCTCTGAAAAGCACCATCCTGTCTTTGTTTCTGGGGACTTCTTTAGACATCGCCTGTAAATGGAATTATGCAACTGTGTCTTTTTGTGACTGACATATCTCAATTAACATAATGCTCTCCAAGGTCATGAATGTCATGGTATGGACAAGTTCTTTTTGTTATTATTTTTAAGGCTTCATGATATTCCATTATATGTATCCTCCATCTCTAAGATCTATAGTATTATTTACACAGCATTTGACCTTTCCTGTGAAAAGCATCCATCTCTTGAGTGGGTCAACTGTAGACGGGAAATCATGGGGTTCTTTAAGGCACACTCTGAATTCAATTGTTTCCTGGACAGGTCTCGAAAAAAAATCATAATGCCATCATTTGTTGACAATTTACTACAGATCAAAAGACTTCATACATTTGCAAAATTTTATTTGTAAATTCAATTATCACAGAAAATCCTAAGAGGCAAATGCTATTTTGTTCTCATTTTATAGTTGAAGGAACTGGCCTAGAGATAAATAATTGGACCAAATCAAATAACTATTAGGGTACAGAATTGAGACTTAACTCCTGGCCTAAGTCTCTCATTTCTATCTCTGTACTCTAGTGCATTTTCACAAAGAGAGGTATCTATCTTCAAAATCAGAATGCTGTTCGGTTAATCCCTGTTACACTGAATGGCTTTAATAAAATCATTGAAAGAATTAAGTTTTTGGGCCTGGAGATTTAGCTCAGCGGCATAAGTGCCTGCCTTGTAAGCAGGCAGTCGTGAGATCGATCCCTGGTACCCATAAAAAGGAAAAAGACAAAAAAAAAAAAAAAAAAAAAAAAAAAAGAATTCAGTTTTCCCAGGAGTTAGTGACGTAGACAAAAATATAGGCACAGGGTAGTGCACATTAGACTCTGATTCCCAATCCGAACCAAACTCATCAAGACCAAAGACAATTCCTTGACATATGTTGAGGCTTTTTTTCATCTATGAGACTAAATGCCTATCTGCATTAGTCAGAATTCTCCAGAGAAACAGACCCATTTGGAGTTATGCATCTCCATTTTGAGCTATTGTCTAATGCATTTGCAGCAGCTTACAAGTCCAGAACCTGAGGGGTAACCTAGTGGTGATGGAGGACTAGAGATAGCTGATGCTCAGTTCTGGGGCAGTCAGCTTGACCTTTCTATGCTACCCGAAGGAAGCCTGGTCTTTTTGTTTCATTTGTGTCTTCAGTTGATTAGATGAAGCCAGCCCACATGATAGAGGGCACCTGTTTCAGTCTATGATCAAAAATGTTACCTTAATATAATGTTAGAATCTATTAGTTAAGTGTTAATCTCATTCCAAAAGACCTTCCAAGAAATATTCAGAACAATATCTGGGCCAAGTGATCTGGACACTGAATTCCCAGTTAAGTAGACCCATAAAACTGATGATCACAGTATCCTCAGAGATGTATAGAAACATGAAGCACAGAGCATATTTCGTCCCCTTTGCTAATATTAGATTTTCCTCTGTCTATCAAGGCAACTATGGAAATACATTGCTTAACCATCATGCAGCTGAAGACCTGAAAGTCACAGAAATAAAAATTTACATGTAGGATTTTTAACATGAAATTAGCTGCAAAATATAATACACATCTCTAGTCAGATATTTAAAATCAAACTTGCTGATAGCTAAATTATATATACTACACATTTCACATATCAAATGAACTGGGGGATGATTTTTGATCCATATGCATGAAAACTCAAAGAAAATTTTGGGACAACAGAGTCCAAAATTTCTGGAAAACCGTAACAATTTTCTGTAGTATTTTAGAATACATAAATATTTATAACATTAAAATCACTGTGTTATAGAAATATAACAAACAAGGGATTACAAACTGATTTAAAGAAAAGTCACCAATAACTTGTGTCAATTCAGACAAATGTGTACCATTCTAACATCTGGATTATGATCACGCATTTATTTTAGATTTGCTCCTGAGAAGGGAGGCACATGTTCCCCAGTGAAAGGAAAGCCATGGGCCTCAGGCAGGGAGATAAGAAACTCAGAATGACACCTCCTACAAAGCCCCATCCTCCTTTGTCTAACAGAGAACCAAAGGACTCCTCTGTTCTGAAGGGCCCCTGCCATGAGCCTCAGCTTTCTCTGTTGTGTGGCCTTTTGCCTCCTGCAGGCAGGTGAGTCCTAGACAGGGACTTGGAAAGGGATTTCAGGTCCTAGTCCAAACCTTTCCACTGGGTTGTGGAATCAGCTTTTTCTTCTTTCACTGCAGGTCCAGGGAATGCTGGCATCACTCAGATCCCTGTGTCCCAGGTCCTAAAAACAGGCCAGCACATGACACTGAGCTGTGTCCAGCAGCTGAATCACGACCGCATGTACTGGTACCGACAGGATCCAGGACTGGGGCTGAGGCTCATCTACTACTCATATGATACTAACATCACTGAAAAAGGGGAATTCTCTGATGGTTACAGTGTGTCCAGACCAAGTAGAGAGAACTTCCTCCTCACTATACAGTCGGCCAACCCCTCCCAGACATCTGTGTACTTCTGTGCCACCAGTGATTACACAGTGCTACACAGCTGCCCCTGGTCTGCACAATAAGGCCAGGAGGCCCTGCACCCTAGAACTAAGGGACCTTGGCAGAGATGGCAGCACTGGGAGGCTGGCATGCTAAGGACACTGGGTTTGCACTCTAAGTGTATATCTCAGACAGTCTCAACCAGACCCGAACTCACTCTGGACACAGAGGTCTCCACTGTTGCACCTTGAACGTGGTTCTCTGAATCTGACTTTTCTAGTCATAGGCTTGAGGTAACACCTTCCAGCATGGAGCATGGATTGTGACTTGAACATACCTGGGCTCCTTGCTCTGGAACCCTAGCACCTCTCTGGAGAATTCTCACCTACTTCATCTCTGATGCGGTCTCCACTGATAGTGACCTTTTACATGATGATGGCTGTGCTCCAGATCCCCACCAGGCCTTTCTTCTTTCCATTTCTCTAGTATTTCCACTCCATCCACACTGGCAGACCCTCATCCAAGCCTGATCTTTTCAGTAGCAGAGACAGCAGTGGTCCTCCTCTGTAAAAAGGGATTTCCATTTCTTAGAGGCAAAGACACACCTGGACTTCAGGTCTCAGCGATGCTGCTAAGGGAAGTATGCTTTCCTTTCTATCAAGCTCAGTTTCCCTTCTATAACTTCACAAGGCCTCATGCGATTAGATTGGAGCACATTTATAATTTTCCAGAACTTGGCCAATTATTTTTCTACTGAACTATATTTTAAGGGCTGTAACTCTCTCTTTACCACCCTATAAATTCACCTTACTGTATTGAGAACTCATCTGTTATGGATTAAATACTGATGGTCAACTTAAGGCCAGCAGAATTAAATCACCATGATGTTGAGCATAGACGTTTCATTTGAGGAAATTTGCCAGCAAAAATAGAGACATGAAGGAGAAAAAGGGCATTGAGGCATTGTGGGTTCCCCTACATGTTGTTGTTTGAGCTGTTAGTTCTGCTGGAGAAGCTCTGGTCCTCACATTAAGCATTGCTTCCTGGCTCCAGAGGGGAAGACTTGTGCTGCTTAATCTCCAGGATGAACTCATCAGGTATTTTCCTGGCAGATGCTCAACTGTACTTATCTTCAGGGGATCTTTGAGCCTCTGTGTCACTGAGGATGACTGTGGCGCTTTTCAGGACAGCACTGGTCTTGGTTTTGAGTGTGACTTCTTGGCTCCAGCACAGAACCCTCAACCTACCAGCACAGCTCCTTTACCCTGCTGGCATAGACTTTCTTAGTTTCCACCACTGATTTTTGATCCTTCTTAGCATGGATCTGTAAAAGAGACAGGTGTGAGTCCTTTTGTGGGCTCTAGATTTCCAGTCGGACTCATGGGGTGAGATCTTCATGAGCTCTGGGTCTTCATCCGGCCTCATGTGGTACATTGCTGTGGGATTCAGGCCCTTGGCTAAATATTATATGCCTTTAGTGTTGGGGATACATTTCCTGCCTTTTCTAGTGTTAACCCTGCCTGACCATCATAAAATAATATTATAAATTCCATGTCCTGATTCTAATTGTGCTCCTCACAGCCCCTGACTACAACACCATCTTACAGAGAAAGGGTGAGTGAATGACAGACTGTGATGGAAGAACCATTAACAAAATACCTTACAATGCACATTAACCTGGAAGAGAACAAGTATTACCTATGAGAAGTCACATTCTTTTCTTTGATGGGCTACAGTGGGTTTTGGAATATAATGGGTAATCTCTTGTCCATTTCTTGCTTGTTTTACAACTTCCCAACCAGACTTCCCCCAAATTGTATTCTTTCCTTCAACTGCTTTCTTCACAAGAAATCTAGCCAGATCAGAGTTCAACTTCCAGGCTGTTAACCTAAACTTTCTTTCTGAAAATCACTCCTGGTATCAGTAAGTCTATGAAGTCTCCCTTAGTGGAACAGAAGCATTAGCCATATTATGGGAAGAGAGGGATTATCATGTGAATTAGGCCTATTTCAAACATGAGAAGAGCTGAGGAATAGCAGACTGGAAGGGAGAAATCAGAAGAGGGAGCAGCTGGTGGGCAGAGCTCTTGGAGGGATGGTTCAGGAGAACAGGCTGGAGCTATCGGGCACAAGGGTGCCTCCAGCCACTTGGTGAGACCTAAAATGGGAGCAGGAGAAATCCAGGAAAACCCGATGCTAGAGAAGCCGTTGCCTCATGGGGTTTCCTCCATGGGTTTATGGCTGTTGACTAAGCCTTCCTGCTGTTGGCTAGCATTTGAGGAGATAAGCTAGGCACAGAGTGCAGGAGAGAGAGGATGCCCTCGGGGTGTTGCACACCTCTGCACGTACTGATCAGTGTCTCCCTGCAAGACCATGAGGATCTTCCAAGTGTAATGGTCAGTCTCTTACCAGTTCATCCTAAATTCTGAATGAAGGCCTCCTTGACCTTCATTCTGGAAATGTAGTTTCCCACTATGTAATTGATTGAAAAGCACCGTGCACAGGATAGCTTCTCCCAAAATGATACTTCCAGTCATCCACCTTCTTACCCTGTTATGGTCTTCAGTCTTCTTCCTACATGCCTACACTTGCAATGGCAGGTGAATGATGCCAACAATGGGATGTCTTCACTCTGGATTTTTCTGTTACAACTGAGGATCCAGATGTCCCCCTATTCAGAAGCACAGTTTTAGCTGTTTTTACTGTCTTTTCCTTCATGAGCTGTCATGGTGCTAGAGTCTTGCCAAGCAATATTAACTTATGAACACTGTGATTTTTAACCCACTCACAGAAGAACATGAATTTCAAAGTGGAAAACATTCTTTTTTCTCTGAATAAGTTTGAACTAAGTGCTAAGTCAAGTATTTTGCTCTTTCATTGTCTTCAGTTGACCAAAGGAGAAGCAAATTTTTCAAGTCAGGTCTTGGCATCCTAGTGTTTTTCACATATCAGAGTCCAGTTGCCTAATCAAGGGTTGATAACTATAAGAGTAGTGAATTTCTGTGAGTGAATCTGTCTGCTGTGGATTATGGAAATTATTTCCCTGTTGAGCATGCGCATGGATAGACCAATTTTTCACTTGTCATGTAAATTTCTACTTCTAATGTGACATATTCTTGAATTCAAATGAAATAAAGTCAACAAATGTAATTTTGCTACTGTGACCTTATCCTGGAGTTGTAGGTGAGAGCAAAAAGGCAAATATAAAACATTATTTTTAAATGCAAAGATTTAAATGCAAAATCCAAGGCTTTTCACCAGCTACAGTGTCCCAAATGGGGCAAAATCCTTTCAGGTATATGCAATGACTTTATGAAAAAATCTTGGATCACACATGAAATTTTGCAGAGACTTAAGAAGTAGGATTTTGTCTTATTAAAAAGCTTTTGCAGAGCAAATGAAACCATGAACATAGTAAGAGACAAAACACTGAATGGGAAAAACATTGCCAGCTGTTTCTCAGACAAAGGCCTAGTATTTTGAATATATGCACAACTCAAAATGTCAGATCCCTCAAATGTAAAGACCTACTCAAAAATAAGTATCTAAAATGTATATACTTTTCTCAGGTAAAGAAGTACAAATGGTAAATAAACTTATAAAAATAATGCTCTATAGCACTGTTTGGTCATTCCAGAGATACAAATTGATACCACACTGAGATTCCATCTCACTCCAGAAAGAATGGGTACTATGAAGAAATCAACCAACAACAAATGCTTGAGGGTCTGTGGAACAAAAGGAACATTCTCCACTGACGGTGGGAGAGTAGACCGGTGCAACCACTATGGAAATTGGACTATTTAAATTGCTACGCTAAACCTTTTATTTGAAGTTTCTATTATAAACTCAAATATTGAGTTCAGTTATCCAAGTATTATAATCTTCTTTCTAGTTTTTCTCACAATCCAAAAAGTTATATTTATAATCGCATGGATACAGTATTGGAATCCCAACAAGTTAATTCCAATCTACCACCACCAATGCAACCAAGACATATTCCAAATGAAGAGTAGCCAAGGGGTCCTATGTCCATTCCCCATGAGGGCATGTGGAGAATGGCCTGGATGGCAGGCCTCTCCCAGCATTTATTATCTTGTGAAGAAGGAGGTGGCTCAAGGATGAGTGATAGTGAGGATGTAGGGAATTACTGAGTAACTTGAGAGGGTGGGCCAAGTGCATCTCTGTAAATTGCGGAGATAATGATATGCAGAAGGATCAATCTAAATAATTCAGTTAAGGTAGTAATGGAATTGTCTTAGGGGTCTTTGGCTTCTTTTTCCCATATGCAGACTCTTGTGTCCTGTGGAGTCATAGCCTCCTATCTTAAGGCTCTTACCCAGTTGACATTCTGGGAGCTATTTGCTCTTAACATCTTCTGTGCTCAATCCTGTATTGTGGAGAACACTATGAACAGGACTGTCTGTTGGCTATAGAGTTTGCATATTAGCACCTCAGCTAGCCTTATTTGCAATGTTCACAGCCAACTGAAGAGAGAAGGAAATACCCTAATCAGCCTTTTACATATCAATATAAGGAAATGAGTCTCCAAGTAATCAAAGTCACAGAAATTGTTTTGGATTCAAAGGGAGTCACTCGAGTTGTCTCCCACAGTTTTCCACTAAAGAAAGTGGGATTTTAAAAATTCAAACCTTGAATTTTTTAAAAAGATGTCTCTTTTTATCTGCCTCAATTGATATATAGTTACATGTTATTTTTTATAAATTCAAATGCTTACATTGTAATTAAATTACTTGCCCATCTGTTGTTTGTGTCAGTGAAGACCATGGTCAGAGGTTATATGATCATAGTTCCTAGGTGTCTGGGAGCCTCCAGAAACACCCCAGGTCCCCAGGAGTGAGACTGAGTATCACAGACCTAGCATAACTCAAATGCCTCTGTGTAGCTGGCAGGGGAATCTCAGTTCCCCTAAATCCACTTAACAAGAATTACAGTGTCACAGTACACCAAATTTCTTTCCCCAAGTATCACTATTCTTGGCAGAACTCCCCTGCTGCCACCTTGGCAGTGTACCCCAATCTAAAAAAACTATCTTTTTTTCTGCATTTCTTGTTTACTGATAA